AGCGTGGTAGCCGGAAACCATCTAGTTCTTTGGGTCAGGAAGCTAGCTTTTAAACAGTTAAATTGGAGAAGAATATTTGGAGATTATTTTTATTAATAGGAGACAGATTAAAAGGAGAAAACAAAATAGATATCAAAATACTAAATGGAAGACACTATTATTTATTGGGAATTATAATAAAACAGTAGTTGAAATGTTAGTTATAAAGTTATTTATGATAAATCATAGTATACATTCTGTTATATACTATAAATTATTTAATATGTTACACACAGATTTGGGTTATTTTGGATACTATTCTGAATCCCATATAGGCTATATTCAGGGAGTTAGAGAAATAGTTCAATATTGGTAATGTTAGAAAAGATATGTAAGGATTTAGGCTTGGTAAAGTGTACTCACAAAAGTAAAAAAAAACAAACTCACTGCCTTCGAGTCGGATCCGATTCATAGCGGCCCCTCATTGGGTTTCTGAGGCAGTATCACAACAGAAACCAAGGCTTATTTTTTTACAAATGCCATATAACCGTTTGACTTATTGCATTGTTTCTTGTGGTATACCCAATGTTTTATTTTTTTAAAGGAATTAATACATATTGAGGTAAAATTTAAGCAGTCAGAAGAAATATCTATTGTGAAAAATACACTTCTCTTATAACCCTTTCCCAACTTCCTTCGACTCTTAGAAATTTAGCAGATAACATTCAAGACTGTTTTCAATAGAAAATCTTTTAAACTGAATTGTAATATTTGTACCCCACTTCTTCACACTGTAAATAAGGTTCAAGACTTTATATAAATTATTACCCAAGAATTAATCTGTAGAGTTAAATTCTAATTTTTTTCTTAAGTTAATAAATTTGAAACAGTAAACACAGGGAGGAAGTGGGAGGAATATTGTTACGTTGTGGGGATTGCAGTCAAGGTCATGAATCAAAGTGTGTATGACGTGCTGAATGGAAAAGCAGTTTGCTTTGTAAATCACAGTCGGATCACGATCAAAAGTTGTAAAATTTGTTCACATTTTTTTAAGTTACTATTCTTTTTTTTTAAATCTGCTAAGATATGTCAGGATGATTAAAACAAAGCCAAGCAGTGGTTTTTGAGTCGTTTCTGAATGGCAGCTCCATGTGTGTCAGAATAGAACTGTGTTGTTCTGAAGGGTTTTCAGTGAGTAGCTGAGTGGTTAACTGTTCACACTACTAGGGACTCCTCGAGTTGGTTACTGTTGTAGAAATAATTTAAACCAGGTATCAGAAAAGCTTAAGTGCCAGAAGCTGAGAATCTGGGATGTATTCTGGGCTTACTTCTTGGACCAGCACTCATTGCCTGCTTTTCCCTGCCATCTGTGGCCTCAAGGAGCATAGGAGCTTTGAGAGAAGTATCTCCTATGCAGACCTGATGTCTTTTGAATTGAAATATCACTCCCTGCAGTTTTTATCCTGAACCCTTTTCATCCTAAATATGAAAGCATAAATGACATTTTTAAAATCAATAAAACTAGTATGAAAAAATGTGACTGTTATAAATTATTGGAGTATTTTCCATCCATTTATCATTGTTGTATGTCAGAAAGACTATGGTTAAGAGTTCTTCACTCAGTATTTTCACCACTGTGGTTCACTTGATTCTCACTAACATTCTTGAGATAGAAAAAGGAGTAGGATGGCACTGACAATGAATGTACATAACTTTCTCCCCCTTCTTTTCTTCTGCCTTTTCCAAATGGGGGTGGGGAAAATTAAATAGGGAGTCCCTTTGTCCAAATTGGAAAGACAGAAATTATGTGGAGAAAAGCTTATTTGCAGAGAGAATTAAACTTGGAAACTTTCAATCTAGTCCTGCTAATATTGTATCTGCCATTGTTGTTTTCCATGCTGATTTTGTTATGTTGGCCTTCAGAAAGTATGTATTAATTTCATATTAAAAGAGATTTTCTTTGGTCATTTTACTTTAGACTTCACAGTTTTTGTTGATAAGCCGTTTAATTTAATCATAATAAAAGAAAAATCTGACAACATGCGGTAGTTCCTTCTCGAATCATTCCTTATATAGTATTGCCTATATTTGGGAGCTCTGGTAGCATAGTGGCTAAAGCACTTGACTGCTCACCAGAAGGCTGGCGGTTCAAACCCACCAGCCACTCTTCGAAAGGAAGGTTGGGCAATCCTACTTCCGTAGTGATACTGCCTCGGAAACCCAAGGAGGGGTCGCTATGAGTCGGGGCCGACTCGACGGCACATAACAACAACAACAACATATTTTGTAAAACAAAATAAAAATTTCAGGAGTGATATATAAAACTTTTTGTTAAGTTGGAAACCTAGGTCAGTCATTTCTAGATTAATTTTTTTTTGTTTCCATGTTGTGCCACCATTGTCGCTTTCCTTTTCCAAAATATTCCACCACTATTAGCATAAACTCAATAGCCCAAAAATAAGTTTCCCCTTTCCCCTTCCTTCCTAGATTAATTTTTTAAAATGCAGCCCAGAGTTGACTTGATCAAAGTGAAAGCAGATATATATACTAAATAAACATTTAATCCTGCTTCTTTATTTTTTATTAATATCACCTTTCTATATCTACTGGTTTATGTTTATTATATAAATGAGAGGTACTAGTTCTATATAATGCTTTTGGAAATCCAGAATATTAAATATAACTTAGTATATTTCTTAATTGGCATGAAAAAACTATAACTTTTTTTAGGAATTTGGTGATTAACTAACCTGTTGCCTTCATTTGAGAAGTAAAAAAGATTAAAAATATATATATGTATAGCTCTTGTCCTCTAATTTGGAATCCCTGAGTGGTACATACAGTTAATGGAAAGGTTGGAGGTTTGAGTTCACCTAGAGGTATGTGAGAAGAAAGGCCTTACAGCCTGTTTCTGGAAAAATCAGTTCTTGGCAACCCTGTGAAGCATAGTTCTGCACACGTGGAGTTGCTGTGAGTTAGGGGCAACTTGACAGCAACCAGACCTCTAATCTGGTTTTGTTGTTCTTTTGGACCTTCAACTCCATAAAATAAAAGTTTATTGCTCTCTGTTTTCAGATCATGACGCTGGCCTTGCCATGAACAGATAACCAAATTATTGAATAAGTATATTACAATATTAAGGAGGGGTATGCAAATTTTGATTACCTTTTTAGTTATTGGTTTGATTTTAGTTTTTAGTTCAGTTTTTGCTTAGAGTAGTCAGAGTTGAGTTCAAGTGTTATGTGTTAATTACCATAATAGATGAAGAATAACTATATCCTTTCTAACCGGTTTAGCTTACCCCTCTCCATTCACTTTTATTTCTCATCCTCTTCTAATGTGATTCTTCCTCCTCTTATCCGTGAAACAAAACCAGTCAATATGTGGTATTTATATGGAGATTATCCATATTGTGTTTTTTCTTGGCCAGTTTTGTCTTGACATAACCTACCAGGCAGGAAGCTTTCTTCATTTGGAGAATGACATTTAGAGTTTGCTCTATCTATATATATGATGGCACTGTACGTGAGGACATTTTTTTTTTTTTTTTAAACTGAATCTTCTAGAGTCGCTTTCACGGTCAGGAAATGAAGTGAAGTTGGTAAAAAAATAGAGCTATAATGTGTTTTATTAATTGGCTAATTAGGTAAAAAAGGAGATAAAGGGTAGAGGAAAGACTATCAGAAGTCTTGCTGAGGCTTTGTAGGTACTCTGCAAAATTTATTGTTTATGATAACAACCAAAAATTAATTTGGAGAGAGAGAGAGAGACTGTATCTTTTTCAAACATAGTGTAATTTGTGTTCCCACTATAGATTATTTATCCTTAAATTGGAGTCTAAAATCAGAATAATTTTATGTTGTTGGAATACTAATTATTTGTTCACCATGCATGTGTGCTAAATATCTTCTAGTTTGTGGTTTGTGTTTTTACTTCCTGATTACTTTCAGCTGATAGAAATTCTTAATTTTTGTATTAAATGTATCCGTCTTCTCCTATGGTTTGTGCTTTTTAATATTTTAAGAAACATTGTAACTCTTAAGTTCCAAAAATATTATATCTTCTAACATTTTTAGTTTTGTTAGATACATTTAAATTTTCAATTGGCCTGGGATAGATTTTGAGTATTACGTGAGCTCAGGATACAATCTTATTCTCTGTCCCTCAAATACAGAACATTGGTCTTACAAGCACTATGAAGCTTAAGATTCCATCTAATAATAATCCTTATCCTTTTTAATATCATTGAGGTGAGAGCCTTTGCTGACTTAACACTCATTGAGACTTATATTTAGTTGGCCTGTGTGGTGTGATCACATAGGTTGTTTCTACTTTTTTCTGATTGGTTGGTGCATACATTGTGATTAGTCAGTGTGTATGCACCACCAGTTTGAGTTTGTTTTTTTGAAAGTCACTCCTACTCTTATCCCTCTCGAACTACAGCTACTATAAGGCCCATGAGTTAATGCTAGCTAAGAAAGTTTATAAATGCTTTGTAAATGATTGAGAACAAATCAAAAGAAGAAGAATGTTTTGTGACATGTTAAAATTGTATGAAATGGAATTTTGGTGTTCAGAAATAGTTTTTTGGAACAGAATTGTGCTCATTCATTTAATATACAACTTTGGTTGAACTGCAATGGCAAAAGTGGGTAGTTGCAACAGAGATTGTATGACCCACAAATCCCAAAATATATCCTTTATAGAAGAAAATTTGCCCACTTAAAATAACCATTCATTGTATCTATATCTTGGGGCTGTTTTGTGTGCTGGCATAGGGATGGCGTTTTAGCCTTCCTTTCTTTACTTTCATCTTCAGTTCTGGTTAAGAGTTAATGTCATAATGAGCCACTGGTACCAAAGTGTCTTGCATTCTTCAGATGTATTTGGACAGAGAAAACAGTTGAAAACTATTAATATAATGATTTATGTAACAATCACTGTACCTGTTTGTTGGTATTTTGCAATTGAGAATTTAAATGAAATATAATTTACTTATTTGCTGATTTTCCCTTTTATAGGAAATTAAGAGAGAGACAGAATCCAAGGATGGCAATTTCCCCATCAAAAGGGAAAGGCATGGAAATGTAGCAAGTCTTGTACAACGAATAAGCACCTATGGTCTTCCAGCTGGAGGAATTCAGCCACATCCACAAACCAAAAACGTTAAAAAGAGTATGTAAATAATTTCTTTCCTATTTTATGTCATCAAAATAGAAGGATATGTTATAACCATTCATAAACAGTGTTGAGGAAAATTTGCTCAACTTTCTGCAGCAAATCATGATAACTTTTTACTTCCATTGTTAGATAATGGTTAGATTTTTAGTCATGTACTAAATTGATAATCATGTTTAGTCATGTACTAAACTAAATCATGTACTAAAATGATAACATACTGATAATCAAACATGAATAGCTGGTAGTCATCTGTTTCGTTGTTGTTATGTGTCGTCAAGTCGGACCTGACTCATAGCGACCCCTCCTTGGGTTTCCAAGGCAGTATCACTACGGAAGTAGATTGCCCAACCTTCCTACCAAGGAGTGGCTGATAGGTTTGAACCGCCAGACTTCTGGTTAGCAGTCACATGCATTAGGCACTACACTACCACAGCTCCTGGTAGTTATCTATAGGAATTATAAATTAAAATATGAGATTTTATTATTAATCTTACAGGCTCTGCTGAATATTTAACACTTTGCTTCCATGGATTTTTTTTTCTTTGCCTCAGTTGATTTTTAATATCACTTATTTAATGGGATGCTAAAAAATCTGCTGATCCTTAAGCAATAAAATCCACTGCCATTGAGTCAATTTCCAACTCACAGCAGCCCCCATTTAGTTTCCAAGGCTATAAATCTTTAAGGAAGTAGATTGCCTCCTGTGTAGCAGCTGGTTGGTTTGAACCTCTGACCTGGTTAGCAGCCAAATGCCTTACGTACTATGCCATCAGAGCTCCTTCTAAACATTATAGATTCAAGATTGTTGACAGTACTTTTTCTTTAGTGGTTAGACATATGAGCATATACAGTGAAACCTGTGAGAGCTGTTTAACTCGATGAAACTGCCTTGTTTTTTGGGACTCATAAGTTTTCTGTTTTTGACAGGGTACAGTCTTACAACTTTTCTGTTGCTCATTTTAATAGAAAATATTTGAGCTTTGCTTCTCTGACAGGTTTCCACTTTACACAGGTTCTGCTTTTTCAGGTTTCAAATTTTCAAAGGTGATTGGCTTAGCAAAATGCCTTTTAAATATTTGGCAGTTGTAAATATGCTGGAAGAACAAAGGCAACTTACTATGTAGAGACCACCATGTTGAAAATCAAGAGATGGATTTGAGTTAGTCTATGACCTTGGGCAGGTCATTTAAATCTCTTGAGTTTTATTTTATTAGTATATTTTTTAAAAAAAGCTAGTATCCCTTAGTTATTGTGAAGAGTAATCTAAAAGTTCAGTAAACATTAAGTCAATGGCTGTTACTCATTATTCAATCCAAGTAAGGTAATTGCATATTCATTATTTGACAAACACTGAGCACTGGGCTGTTGGTGAAAAAGTGGTAAGGAAGATACATAATGTTCTTCTCAAACAAGTTACAGTCTTGGAAAAGACTTATTTAAAAAGTGCAAAACATGTATAAAGAAGTATAAGATTCTGTGGGAGCAGATAGCAAATGTTTTAATATAGTAGAACCTGAAGCCCCTTGAAAGATTGCATGCTCATTACTATTTTCAGTTTGATTTAATAAGCAGTAATAAATAAGTATTTAATCACATTTCCTTAGATCAATGTCTTTGAAATTGTGGTCTATAAATCCCTTGTGATACCAAGTAAGGTGGAACAAAGACATTTTATTTACATGGATTTCACATACTAGAAATATATGGTTATTTATGATTTTTATAGAGTACTATTATATTTCTAATAACCTGTTACTTTCCATGCTGCTGTCTGTTAAATTTGAGGAAACCTCTGCTCTCTGAGTTACATCATACTTTGATAATTCTTAACAGATTTTCTGACACTAAGACCAGTAAAAAGGTTTTATGTGTTATATGTTTCCCAGGAAGTGCAATGTGCAGACAATAATTAGATGTTACCCACCCTGCTTTTTCTCTCCTGCCTGAAAGTGGACAGTTTCAGTAGTTATTAATAGTCTCAAACTCTGAAACTCTGTTTGCTTGGGGGACAGAAAAACAGAGTATCTTCACATCCTACAGCTTAACGTCTATATGGAATACCTGTGCTCAGGGAGAAATTTTAAGCCCCTAAAATAGTTAAGATCTCTGCCCATGGTAAAATCCCTTTGCAATGTTGTTTAGCTTTAGTGAGCTACAAAGGGACAAATTTCTTCATAAGTAGAGGCTAGACAAAGGGCTTCAAGGCTATGAATATTTTATTCATTTTTGTCTCCTAACAGGAAAAGACACAGTAAATTTCACCTTCCCTAAGAACACTGAACATAATTCTTTTCTTATTAGAAGAAAAAAAACGTTGTATAGTTGGTTGTAGGAGACTTAGAGTCTTTTGTAAGGATCCGTACTCCATAAATTGTTTTTAAATGCATGAGCTGCAAGGACTGCATTGGTCATTTGGTATCAGCTCATATTTAAAACAGGATGCAGGTTGTTTCTGTTTTCCTGTTATTTAATGTATTATTGTTTGCATTTATTAAAACTGATTTTTTTTGTTGTTCCTGTTTGTATCATATCCTTAACTTACAAAATTGATCATTTATTCAAAAATGGTTCATGGCTGGGCTAAATAGTGGTACAAACAACTAACCAATATTAATATTTTTTTAAAAAACAAACCAAAGAACCAAAATCTTTATAAAGGTCAGTAGTGTAAGTACTGCAGTCTGAATGTTCAATTTAAATCTGTGTATAGAGACAAGTAAATCTGCATGTGTATTGATTTTGTCTAAACAAATAAAGCAGTAGTTTAAATAGTATGATATTGAATCCTAGCCACTAGACCACCAGGGAACTTTTTAAATAGTATGATGTTTAATATCTAAAAACTGGATTTTATTGGACTAATAAGCCATTTTTTACTAGTCACCTGTGTATTGATTTTTTTGTGAAACTTAGTCATGAAACCATTGGAAGTTTTGCTATCACTTTTAAGTTAAACATGGTAATGTCTCAGGTAAAAACAGGCATTTTCTAGAGCAAGCACAGAATGTTTTCTAGGATAAAATTGATTACTACAGTTTTTAAAGAGACTGAATTTACATTTCTTGTACCAAATATAGGGACCTCTGGTGGAGCTCTGGTAGCATAGTGCCTAAGGCACTTGACTGCTAACCAGAAGGCTGGCGGTTCAAACCCACCAGCCACTCCTCGGAAGGAAGGTTGGGCAATCCTACTTCCGTAGTGATACTGCCTCGGAAACCCAAGGAGGGGTCGCTATGAGTCGGGCCGACTCGACGGCAAATAACAACAACAACAACAACTGGTGGTATAGTGCCTAAATCATTTGAGTACTAACCAGAAGGCTGGCGGTTCAAACCCATCAGCCACTCCTTGGAAGGAGGATTGGGCAGTCTACTTCCATAGAGATACCACCTCAGAAACCCAAGGAAGGGTTGCTATGAGTCGAATTGACTCGACAGCAGAGAGTTTTTTCTTTTTGTACCAAATACAAGAGCCCTGGTTGGCGCAGTGGTTAAGTGCTTGGCTGCAACGAGAATGTAGACACTTTGAACCCACCGTCAACTCTGTGGGAGAAAGATATGGCAATCTTCTTCTGAAAAGATTTACAGCCTTGAAAACCCTTTGGGGGCAGGTCTACTCTGTGCTACAGGGTCCCTGTAAGTCAGAATCAATTTGATGACAGTGAATGTGGTTTTTGGGTTTGTACCAAATATAGGCACAAGTTACCTTATTGCTGAGATGTTTGAAAAGTCAGCCACAATGATAGGAATAGTTTATTTTGTTTGGAGAGTGAAATAAATTGATATCTCTTGGCATCAGAAATCTAAGGTGCTTTAGTGGTGGTGTAGTGCCTAAGGTATTTGACTGCCAGACCCACCAGCCACTCTGCAGAAGGAAGACTGGGCAGTCTACTTCTGTAAAGATTTACCACCTTGGAAACCCAAAGGGGGTTTCTTGTGAGTTGAATTGACTCAATGGCAGTGAGTTTGGTTTTGGTTTAGTATTAGTAGATACTTCATTTTATATTTGAAAGAAGCTAATGCCAGATGTGAATCTTCTGTTGGCATGGGTGAGGGAAAACATCAGTGCTTGTTTTGTTTTCCTTAGTACCAGAAATTCATGTTGCAGACCTAAGTTTTCATATAGTTAATAATTATTTTGATGTAAAAAATACATGGAGATTTGTACTGATACATCACTAGTGTGTATACTGAAAGGAAAGATGTTACTATATGACAAATTAGCTGATAAGACTGCCAGGCTACACGGTGCTTTATGGATCACTGGTATGTATACTAGGAGCTCTGGTAGCGTAGTGACTAAGGCACTTGACTGTTAACCAGAAGGCTGGCTGTTCATAGTGCTTTATTCCCAGGGAACACTTGGTAGTAAATGATGCCCCTCATGATTTAGAGTGAGTGCTGAAGAAAATAATGAAAATTCTGAATACTGTCACATTGTGACCACTGAATATGCATAATTGTGTTGTACTTTTTTTGAAAAAATGGGTATGTTGGTTCAGTTGTACTTTTTGACATTGAAATATTCTGACTCTTAAGGAGAAAAAGACTCATTCAGATGATTCTGCCCCAACCCCTGATCCCTCAAATGAATGGAGTAGGATGTTCTACTTTTCTATTTTGAAAAATACATAAATGTACAGAGAAGTTGGAAGAATAACTGTGCAGTGATTGTGGTCCTCTGTTCATCTAAATTTGCTGATAACATTGGCCACATTGATTTTTATATACAGAAACAGTGTTTTACTCTGTATGCTGAAAATACGTTGCAGACATAATATGTCATCCCTAATCTCATGAGGGTGTTTTCTTTTTTCTTTCTGTGTGATGTTGATAATAATAAAGATTTCCTAAGACTTTGAGGGTCTTACTCAAGCAGTATATCTCACCAGTATATCTAGTATCTTGAATATGTTGCATCTTTCATTTAATGGCCTAAATAGTATAATCTTTTTATTGCTGAGGATAAAAGAGTTTTTAAAGAAGATTGATCTA